TTGGCAGACCACTCCAGAAAAAGCCAAGGTTGAGTCTGAGTTGCGGCTGGGCTGAAAAAGAGATGAGATCTGTGTGGCCTGGTCTTGCGGTGCGCAAGCTCTGCTTGTTTTTGCTGGGCCTGATGCCAGCTGACCAGCATGTGAGCAGAAACATGTGCCACATGATATATGTCAATCAATCGCGATCATTTTATCAAATAATAGTTCATACACTCATGTAACACGTGCGATGTTTACTTCATATGCAAGTGGTTGCGTGCGCAGCTGCGCGTGAAAACGCACAACCGACTTCGAAAAACACATCATATTTGGACAAACAAATCAGGTGTGGAAAAAACAAAACATCTCGGCACACACACTTTCGCCGCAAAGTCTGAATGTGCTAGACCGAAGTGGAACACACTGCGCGCCCGCCGCACCGGATGCGGCATCGCGCGCGCCGTGCGCGCACCGCGCGCACACCGCACGCGCGTCGCACGTGCACCGCGCACACACTGCGCGCACCGTACGCGCACCGTACGCGCACCGTACGCGCAACGTACGCGCACCGTACGCGCACCGTACGCGCGCCGCGCGCCAACTGTACGCACGCATCGCGCACTGTACGCGCACCCCACCGTACACATACGGTAGCCCCCTATCATGGAAGGCTCTTTCATGACTCTCGAATTTAGCTAAGTTCATAGTGAAGGGAACCACGGCCCCTGAAAAAGAAGAAGAAAAAACCTGCTCAATGTTCAACCTTAATATATGTTGTTCATGGTGAAGGGAACCATACGGAAGCCCCGGTAAAAAAAGGAATGCTAAAGAGTATCTGGCTTCCGAGTTAGGTTTGTAGTGCTGTGGAAACTCGTTTGCAGACCGCGCCTGGCGAGCTCACGCTGTCTAGTAGAAAAAATACCACTCAGGCTTACCAAATAAAGCCACCATGGAACGCAGAGATCGAGCAAGGGCCTGCTTTACTGACTGTGTCAGGGGGGACAGTGGACCTGGCACAAAGTGTCCAACGTCTCCGTCCAGAACCGCTTCAACCAACAGACGCCGCCAGTTGCGCCCCCCGCTCCGCCCCCAAACGCATGGCCAAGCCACACACGAGCAGTGAGCCGATGGATTGCTTCACTGCATTTCACTGCGAATTCCAAGCAGTCTGCAGCTTAGTACGTCCACTTCTGAGACAACATATGTGAAAATGGGCAGGCGTAAAGGGCCATCATGGTGACTCTGTTTTTGCCCAGTGAGATCGCCGTTGGCAGATTCCAATGTCCAAGGCACACGATGAGGGCGTCCACCTGCGCGTCCTTGACTACCTGCAACGCCTCAATGGCTGAGCCGCTGCCGGGGGAGCCGCTGGGACTGCCAAAGAGCTCGTGATCGAAGACCAGAGTGTTCAACGTCACCTAGGCGCACGTATCATGTGGAGCCGTTGAATTTTCAGATCCATGGCTGTCACGATCGACTTGCCGGTTTGCAGGGTCGCTGAGGCTTCCCTTGTTGTTTCCCTTGTTGGCTCATGATCTTCATTCGCTGAAGGAATGCAAGGGTTGAGGCCCACTTGGGATATGCGGCTTGTTCTGCCGTGCAGTTGAAAGCACTCGAAATGAGTGCAAGGTGGTGAAGACAAGTGAGCAGAGTTCTTTTGGGAAGATAATGCTGATGACGTATCAGACGCCTACGCCGGCGCCTACGCCATGCGCAAATACCATGCGGAATGGCCTACGCGAGGTGTTATGTCAGCCTTAAAACGCCTACGCGAGCCTACGCGGTTGAAGGTTGGCTCTCAAAGTGCCTACGCGGTGTGCGTTTCGTGCTAAAACTTGTATGTGCGCACCGATTGGCAACCTGTCAAGTCGAGCCTACCTGGCGCCTACAGGAGAAGCTCCCCAGCCGACTGTCAACAAGTGGCTACGCGCGCCTACGCGCGTGCAGTAATATGCCTACGCGACGCCTGATATGTCCACTCTCCTTTTGCCACTTAACTAAAGTTTTAAAAAATGGATATAATAAACAACTCCGCTCAAGTAGCTTTTGGAGAGCTCTCGACTTGGCTTCACTAGCTGCGGAAACTGTAATAGTCACCACCACTTCCGCCGGTGCGTCCTATTGCAGCCAGACAGCTACTTGGAGGAAGCCCTTGGAGTTAAACACGGATCAACCCGGACGCGAAAAGTGCCGAGATGCATATGCCTTTACCTGGTGCGCCCGCAAGTAGCTCATCACTTTCGGCAGCTCCTCGGTGCTGAAGTTCGCAGCCCGCGCCTGGGCCGGAAGTGCCGGAAGCGGGATGCATGGACCGGCCTCCAACCTCCAAAGGCAAACACGGCAACGCATCGTGTGGAACTCTGCTGTCAGGGTCGTAGCGCGTGAAATTTAGATCCTATGACGTGAAGAACAATTGATCCATAGAGACGTGCACCCGCACCAAAGCGAAAACCAGCGCCGCTGCCAACTGAGGCGAGCTGCCCGCGCATTGAGCCCGACCTCGCAAATGCCGAGGAAAACAAAGAAACAACAAAAGGGGGGGCAACCGAGTCGGCAAAAACCTGCCACTTTTTGAGTGCAAACACAACATGTACCAAAAAGCGTAGGCACGTGACACACCAATTAGAAACACAGACTGCAGCTAAAGAAAACAAACAGAGCAACCAAAAGTTCATGTGCCTTGTCTGATTCGATTGACGCAAAAGCCGCGACAAAACTGCGAACGAGCACATGAGCTGTCCCCTTGGCATTTTGCTTGCACACATCACGAAGAAAACACGCTAAACATTGATCACAACATTGCTTAGAACTTGCTTACTTTGAAAACACCGGTTGGGTGACCCTGACGACCCTAAGGTTCAAGCAAATGGGGTCGTCTTTTTTTGAGTTGGCACCCCTTAGGCCCTGTTTGGTTGCTTTTAAAGGGAAACCAAGAGGAAAACCACACATTGTCCAGGTCCGCGAGGGGAAAAACAAAACAACGAAAGCAAAACACAAAAAAAGAACAGAAAGAAACAAATGGGGAGGGGGGAAAAAAAGAAACAGCTACTGCACCCCGGTGTTTGGCGCCTCCAGGCCGAAGTACACCGCGTCCGCACCGTTCCGCACCGCCGCCCTCAGCTGGGGCCAGCCACCGGCTGGGGCCAGCACCTGGCAACCCGGAACCCCGGGGCGAGTGAGCCACGGGCAACGATGTTGCTTCGTTTCACAGGTTTTCCTTGGGTCACCTCCATTTGCTTTTTCGCCCTTTGAAAAAAAAGAAAAGACTGTCCAGTAGTGATCGGTTCCCTTTAAAACCAACAAGGGAAAACTTGGTTTTCAACTCGCTTGCTGAGTGGATGGCCAAAAAAAAGCCAAGGACTTGATATGTACCGTACCACTAAAATGGTCTTCCCAGAAAAGCTTAAAGTTCCTGAACTCAGGAAGCGAGTTTCCTTGGGCCATGACTAAACCTGGCTGCCAACCAGGGAAAACAAACCAACAACTGAGTATTCAGTGATATTTGTAGCCGAAGCAAAAGCAAACCCAGTTCCAGAACAAAAGCACCAACCTCATCTTCAAAAAAAACCAAATATTAGACCCAGCTTTCATACAAGTTTGGGGATGACAGAGCTAGGGAGGCCATGATTCAGCCAATGTCATTGACTGAAGTCCAGCACCCTAACAAAAATGAAAGCTCGTCTTCTGCTACCTTTTTGTTCTTTGTATGTTTCCCCTTGTCCTGAGCTACCCGCTTTGTGGTTTTTGGGCCCAAAGTGTAGCTAAAGGGTGCATGAGTGTACGAGCAATGGGGGCATCGGCACGAAAGGTGTCGCGAACAAACGAAGAGCGCCTCTGGCTTCGTCCTTTGGACCAGGCCGCTCTCTGTCGCGACATCCTCCGACAGCTCCTGTGCAGCTCTCGGTTTTAGTTGGTCCTGCGTTACGCTGAGCAGTTCCAATTTTGATGTGGGCGACTGGAAAAGCACAGGGTGCCTTGCAAAAAGCATGTTGGTGAAGGGCTTACTGGCCAAAGAGCCAACCACAAAGCAGCGGAGTTCAGTTTTGTCTGGTGCCGTTCGCAAGCTGTGGATTCTTGCAAGCAACGTGCATTAAACCGTTCAACCGTGGCAAGTGCACAGATGTGCACAGCAAAGCAACACATGTTCCTATTCTTGGCCATGCCAAACCCACCTGGCACACAAACCCTTTGTCGGCCAAGTCAAGCAAAACCATGTCTCACCCGAACTCCCCCCGAGTCCCGGTAGAGCTCAGCGTTCTTCCGGCGTCGCCAGGACTCGCGCTTCGCGGTTGCGGCAGGTAGGGCCAGTAGCGCCAGCAGCCCACGGTCTTTACGGCAGCGGCGACGGTGGCCGCCCACTGACGGTGCCCGCCAAAGCCCTTTGTGCACGGAGAGCGTAGGGCGCCCGACATGGACAGGAACCGCAAGCATAGGCTGCAAGGCTAACAGCGCCAAGTTATCGCTTCACAGAGCTGTGGCACATTCCGGAAATCTGCCATACCATTTGAAAGTATGGGTTGAAAGAGGTCGCGGTGTAGCCTTCTCAGTCTCGTATCAAAGGCTTCAATAGCCACAGCTATCTCTCTGCAAGAGCGCTCCTGTGGTTGTGCCTACGTAAATTGCTTGCCTGACGCCTGTTCTTCCGAATCCTACTTCCCATTCAAAATATTCAAGCGGGCACCCTGTGAATGCATCGAGCCACAATCTTGCCTGTCCTTGGGCGGTTGCCCAGCCCGCCCAATTTGCCATAAATGACCAGCCGGACCAATTCGCACATTCCAGCCTTGCTGGGCCAGCGGCCATGTCAGGTTTTTAAATCCTTGGCAGGCTGACCATGTTCTTGATAAACCCTCCAAGCAAAAGGTCTTCTGGACACCTTTCAAGGCCTATTGCCTACATGCCAATAAGTCTTCCCGTAGGGTGCGCCAAGCTCGCCCACAGCAACGCTGCACAGAAAGCAAATAGGATTCGTCTTGGAACCAAACCTTGGAGCCCTGTGAGGCCCTACTCGCTGCACCGTCCTTGTCTGCCTCCAGCTTGTTGAGTGTCTCCTGACATTTGATGCTTGCCCCTGTACATGCCCAAAAGTGCACAAACCTCACTTCAAATGCATGTTGGTCCCGCACTATACTGGTTTCATATTGAAGGCCGATGCACTTGGGGAACATACCCGGGGCAACAGGTCTCTTCACTTTGACTGCTCAATCAAAGTGGGTATGAACCCTGGATTTTCCCTGAACTGACTGAAATCATGCTTGGTGGAATTCCAATCATGAGATCAAGTAGGTCCCTTGCCCCCCGGTCGCAATATTCCGACACCAGTCCCATATGATGGCCTTCCCCGCTTGCATTCCGTTGTGGCTCAAAAACGGCCCATGCTAGCAACTTCCAAGTTGCCAATTGGGGCCTCACGGGTGAAACAAAGGCGCTGAAGTCCCATGATAAATCCCTCAAAATTGAATGTGTGTGTGTGCGTGTGGGGGTGGAGCCAGGAATCGATCCTGACGAAACAGAACCTCGCTCCAGGCATGTTTGCTAGCACGTACTCATATAACATGTACATATAAAGATCGGGTGAAGCCTTTATGTCCACCAGCAAAGAGGAAGGATGTGGCATTTACGTTGTCACCCAACATGTCAATCAAAAGCAAACATCCATCCGTCTACTTGCATCCTAGGCCGTCTTCTCTCGGTTGCTTTCTGCTCCCCTGCTAAAAGTGAATAACTTCTAGTGGTTTGATGGAAAACCCATTCAGTCCTAACATCCAAGCAAAAAAACAAGAAGAAAGTATCTCTGTTTTATTATTGGTACAATCCAATTGTGAGGCTGCCAATCCGGCTCTAACCGCTTTGGCTCAAGCCGAAGCCGGCTCTCCGTCAGGGACTTGAGGCCGCCGTCGGCCTCAAGGCTCAGAGCTGGGGTGTGGATCTTTCAAAAGCTGTGCTGAAAAACGGCCCACAAGCCCGAGTCATCACTAACCATCTGTTGACCGTTTGTTTGTAGACCCATGTCAATAGACCACAAGCCGCGGTCCTTTAACCAACTTGAACTAGCAAATGTTGAAACGCTTCGAAAGTGTCAATCGGAAAGTCTCAGAAGCCCTTGGGGACCCAACTGCACAATGAGAAACCATCTGAGCGGACTACACATGCTATTACGCTGCTGCATCACTTGGCACCTGCTATCCTTTAAGGCACCGTCACATATTCCACCTGTGGACCAGACCAGAGGCAACACTAAATACGATGAACCAAGGGACTAAATGAAGCAGTTGAAGAGCGGCCTCACTCGCGGACAAGCAAGGCAACAGTTCCAACTCCAAGCGCTCAAGGAGAGGGACGTCCAAGAAACAAGTGTTCATTGAAATCCAAAACTGGGCTACAACGGAAAGGTGAAACAAACAAAATAACATCATCGCGAACGATCTCTGCCAGTAGTCACTTTCGATATTTGTTTTAGTGGGGGCCTTGCCCACACATGCTCTTGACAAAAAACATGGTGCTTCGGGAGCCCCGAACATGAGGCCACAAAGAGGGTTGTCACTGTTTGGCAGATCATGTCTTGCCAGAATGTGTATGATGACATAGTCTTCATGAAACGGTGTGAGCGGTGTCGTCGGTGGAAGCGGCGAAAGCGTTGCCGCCGGTGTAATCGGTGCAAATGGTGTCATCGGTGCTAGACGGTGTCGTAGGGTATTAACTGAGCTGCGCTACAAGCAGGCACTATGGTGCTTGCACTACTATATATATATATTTATGGCAGTGCGACGCTGTAACGGTGTTTGCCATCTCTGGGCGACAGTGCGACGGTGCAGTGCGGCAACGGTGTTTGCCCTTTGTTCCGTGACGCTCATTGCGCCCGAAATCACAATATGAGTGTGGGTTTCGAGAGTAACCTTTTCACCTTGCCTTGAAGGGAAGCCGAAAGGAGCAGCCGCCATTTTGGCCTTTCCCCCAATTTTGACATAGCCAACCCTTCGGCGGCAAGCGCCCACCCTCAGCTCTAGGCTGAGTCGCCAGCCTCAGGACCGGTGCGGTAAGCTGTGGTCTTCCGCCGGGCGCCACACCAGTCGGAAGGGGGAAGCAGCAGAAACTCAACTCCAAAGGTTCATTCTTGGATTGCTGGTCAGCTTTCACAGGCCCAACGCATGCTTGACAAGAGAGTTCCTTTCTTCTTGAAAGGTTGATTCTAATGTCAGCCCCTTAGCCCAAGATTCCTGAAAAACAACAAGGAACCCTGGCAGAGCTGCCATGCGTATACCTGTGGCAAAGTGAAGCATTGCCTACTGGATGCAGCAAGGCGTGGCTTAAAGTTGCAAACCGGCAACTCATTGAATCTGCTCAAGTTGCACGGCAGTATGTTGTGGGCTTTGCTCATATTGCTGTGGCCGAGCCAGGCTGGCCAGTTGCCAGTCTTTGACCTTCCGCTCTCAGACTCTCAGCTACCTGGGGCTCAACCTGATGTTTTTGATTACCCCCGGTTAAGTCTGAGGCAGGTATCCCCGGAGTCTCTCACATGCGACGTGTCCCCAAAATAACGTTGACTTTCTGACTTATCTCATGGACATTCGGTGAGGGTATTCCATATTCTTTAAGAAAGCTCTGTTCGCTGGTTTAAAGGGAAACAAAGTGACATCAAACATGCTTGGGTCCCCGATGTTGATACATAATGTAACCTGTAACCATATTGGCCCTTTGTATATATTGGCATTTCGTTTGGCAAAACCGCTCGCTACAAACGATGCACTAGGCCAGCGGCACATCTCGACGGTCTTCGTGCCTGTTGCCTGGCACAAACATGAAGTTGACGCCAGGGGGTTCCTTATATATATATATATAAGTTAACATGGAACCCCAAAAAGGGGTCCCCCCGAAAAAGGACACCCTGAGCGCGCGCTTTGTGCGCTTTTCTATGGTATTAACAAGCACGATATGCTTGAGACTTTTCCAAAACACAAAAACCTCGAGAAAACCTTGAAAAAAAATACTACCCCCCCCCAAGCCAGGAAATGTGACACAGTCTTGGTTTGTTATTGTTCCTTTTTTTTCACACTTTTCCCAAAAACACAAAAAACACAAAGCTTGGAGGAGGGGGGGTAGGCTTGTTGTTTTTTGTTTTTCTCGAGGTTTTTTTGCATTCTTTGGAAACATGAAGAACCTTGAGAAAACCAACAAAAACAAGACTCTGTCAGCTGTCCTGACTTGCGGGAACATAATATGGTTTTGCTTGGTTGTCGAGTTGTTTTTCGTACCTTACCGTTTGCGGCCTTTTTGCAAGAGCTTCTGTGATCAAGTGCGCTGGTGTAGTTCACATCCAAGCCCTAGTAAGTAAGGTAGAGATGGTATCCTCTGGTTGGACTCATTCCTTGTTACATTATTCTTATTTTTTAATTAGAATTCTACAAGTAGAACTTGATAAATATATTAAGTAGAGCTCATAAGAAAGAAGATAGAGGTCCCAAAATTGTTAAGCTGTTCAAATGCCTGCTGATCTGCAAAGACAATTCTATTGGACACGAAATCCTGTGTAGCATCCTTTTTGACATAGAACGAACATTACTTAGGTTCTACGTTAAACCAATACTTATGTTTGGATTATTTCCTTACTAAATTATGTTTAATGTGAGATAGGAATTCAGTAGAACTTGATAAATATATTGAGTAGAATTCATAAGCAAATAACTTCGAGATTCCGAACATGTTTAATACATGGTGTTTATGTGCTTATTGATGTGTAAGGACAATTCTATTGGAAAAGGAATTCCCGTGTAACATTTATGTTGAAATAGATTAATCATGATTGAGCGTCTAATTTAAATTATACATGTTGATTGGAGTCTTTCCTTAACAGTTTCTAGCTAATTGCAGTTAGGCATCGGGTAAACTTTGGTAAAGATATTAAGTAGATTTAAAATTGTTTTTTTTGGGTGTTTACTAGCCCCAGAACGACCATGGTCAGAAAGCACCGTAAATCACAGTGTGTTGTAGCGTTTTTTGTACTTGGTTCACATCTGTACCAACGGCCATTCTCTAAAATTCAGTTTGAATTTGAATAGGACTTCAACAGGACTCAATGAGGAAATACTTGATCATAATCCTACTGGGAATTACATCTTACATTTATAATTTAGATGTACGTCCTTTCCCAATAGAACATTGCATTTAAATTAGAGCTTAAAAGTAATTTGATAAGGAATGAATCCAATCACAGCTTCTGTTTCATAATATAATTTGACTTGGAACAAGTCTATTTCAATTGACAGTTTACACAGTATGTTCTTTCCAACCGAACTTCTTTACAATTCAGCTGACATTTAAACGCACATTATGCAAGCAAAGTTCAACTCGAGTTTCCACTAAAAAACAATGAAGCGCACGCTCACAGCGTCCCGCTCTCAAAAAGAAGAGATTGCTCTACACATGTTGGTGCTTTGGTCTTCATAGTAATCTGCTGGAACAGCGAACCGGGCATCTGGGTCTTCAGACCATTGGATGGTGAAGGTAGGCGAACATGGCTGTAGCTCAGAAACCCTGTTGTAAGTGTGGTTGCGAGGGACGGACACACATCTGCAATGAGTATCATTCACTAAGTTAAATTCAACAATTCCCAGGCAAGGGACCTTCATCATGGGTGAGCTGGGTTTACCCCAGGCAAGCTCGCTACAAGTGAGAACCCACATCCACCATCATGTGGTTTGGTGCTTTTCACATTGGCCCCGCCCGGACCCGCACCAAGTCAAGGTTACCTTTTAATTCTCTTCTTGTCAAAAAGGAGGCTGCATTCTGCGGCCGGAATGATTTTGAAATCAAACCAGGTACACACCTTGTTGTCATCCTCCCACCTTGGCATTGGGCGGGGCAAGGGTCCACTACTCAGCTCCTCAACTGGAGAATCCTAGTATTCCAGTCAGTTGTTGCCGCAATCAAAGAAACCTTGTTGCTCCCAAAAGGACAGTGATTGACATGCCCTGGCCCACCCAACCATTCTCTCTTCTGGGTCCTTCGGCCCTCCTTCTGTTTCGGGTCTGGCTATTGCCGCTCACCGTCGAAAAGCTTCAATGGCGCCCATCTGAGATATCACACTGACTGGATCACAATCCAAGTGTGACAATTCGCATCGCATACGTACGAAGGCAATCGGAACAAGCAGGCCTGCATGCAGTGTTTGAAAGCCTCGAGTCGTTGGGGAAGAACAGCTCGTGTTGCTCGGTGCCCCAGGCCCTGCCTAAAGTTGGGGTTGGCCGCCAAGGGTGCAACGTGTAGCACGCCCACCGTCTGTGCCTGCCGTGCGAAAGCCACTTGCTACGTTCTCACCCGCAACATACGAGTGGTTGGGGCGTGGTCGAAGAGTGGCCTGAACACATGAAACCCTCATCAACGTAAATTTGTTGGCCAGCTTCTAGTTTTTAGAATCCACCACGGGCGAATAATCCCGCATAGCCCCATGCTTTGATCATAGCTCAAATGAAGTCTGAGGAGCAAAACACCTAGTTGTTTGAGCTAATTCTCCTTTGCGATGAGAGCTTGTTGCTGGCAGGAGCGCATGCATGTGCGGAACGTGCTTGGATCAACGCCCTGTATGGCGACTCCTACACCCCGGCTTGCATCAAGCTATCAAATCAGAAGGATTATCGTGTATAGCTTCTGTGTCCGATCCATCCACAAACATCCATGGGATTGCGAATGTCCCCGCAAACCAATCCGAATCCCTGATAATCCCGGATGCGCCAGCGAGTGCATTCAAGCCGCAGTGTTCCTATTGAATTACCCACCGGCCCAACCTACTGTCAAAAGGTCTGGCGGAACATGCGAGAAAAATGCACTCTCAGCATCTCTCAGCAAAAAACGTCAAGAGGGACATTCTAGCTTGCGGTCTTTTGATGCGGTCTACGGCCATTCAACTGGAACGGGGTCCAAGAGAACCCCCGCTCTCTATGGCAAAACGGTCGAGTCCCACCCACTTGAACCTCCTAAGACCTCCGAACCTTGACCTTGCAGTGATTCCCAGGGACTGGCCTGCCTCCCGCTTCATCTCCATTTATGGCTGTGGGTCAAAACCAATGGTACCATTTTGGGGTATGGACTCAGAGTGCTGGTTTGAAGCCAAAGGTTGGCCAACCAACTCAAAAGTACCTGGGGCCAGCTCTATGCGACAGATTGACGCAGCTTCTTTGAATCCAACCCGATGCGTCTCTCAGAATGGCTCCTAACTCTTGCGCATGAGCTACTGATATTTGGCCAAGGCCTTCGGCTCTCACATATCAAATGACCCCCCGCGCCTGCGAGCCACGCACAGCTTCCTCGGGCCCCGACCTCAGCTTAGCTGAGATGCTCCTTGGAAGGACTCTGACATCAGGGATCTCCAACAAGTGGAACACAAGCCCATGCATGCTAAACCCGGCTGAAACCGGACTGCAGCATTGAACTATAAGGATTCACCACAAGGTGATTCTGCGAGACTCGCTGGTCCTGACATGTCCGGTAGTCTGAAGTCGTGAGAGCAAACCCTATGAACCCTTGCCAAGTCGTCAAAGCCATCGGTCAAGCCCCGGGCGAGGTGAGGATGGCGGCATCAGCCCTGGCAGAATCAACACGTGGAACTGACGTCTTCGGTATTCTATGGTCTGAATATGTCCAACTCGCAGCTGTTCATGGCAGACTCGCCCACTCCCGCTCAAGAAACATAAGCACAAGGACTCCAACAGGGCCAAGGCTGTTGATACACTTGTCCTAGAGCGCCGGATTGTTTGGGTGGGTGGGTGGGTACGGGGGTGTGCCTCTTCGACCTAGAAGATCTGTCTTGGTTGGCTTTTTCGAGGACAGCCATTGAGTGAGATTGTTGGACATGCTTCCAAAGCACCCTGCCCTCCTGAGGTGTTGAGGCACGGTGCACCAACGAAAGCAGTTCACTGCAAGGTCAGGTTGAAGAAACTGACGCCTTGGGTAGCGCAGGCTGCTCCAACTCCAACTCCAAGGTCAAAAAATGGCCCCTAGATTGGAAGCAGGGAAGCCCTGGTTACGACTTGTTTGGCCCCATACAGGCACCGTTTCCAATCTCCCTGATCGGGCGATTTACCTAGAGGCATCTATTGCCAGCGTCTTAGCACCCAGCACATTAGCTGCTTAGCTCCACATCACAGAAAGTTCTCTTTGTTCCCAAACAAGAAGAAAGGACCCCCCTTGAAAAGGACCTATATGGGTCGGGTGGGCCCGAGCCATGATTTGCCCGAGTTAGCTGAAAGCCCGGCATCGCACCTGACTCCCATTCCGCAGCTGGACTTGTCCGCAAAGCCCGTCAGGGCTGCCCTAAATGCGCTGTTCGATGCGCCGGGGTGGGAAAGCAGGAAACTTTCGCGTGCCTCAAGGGCCAGTTGGTTGCCATGGATGAATCTGAATAATATGCTCTGCACTGCCTGCCACCTTGCGGGATGCTTTCACACCAAGATTGCCTGAAGAAAGACGAGCACGAGCCAACACGTGCGAACTCTCCAAGCGAAGGCGGCAAGTTATGCATCAACATAATCCTTGCCAAAATGCGTCTAGCACATTGGCTAGACCCTTTATTCATCGCCGCGATTCACCCAAAGCAGCGTCACGGGTGAGCATGGTTAACCCTTATTTTTGCCCTGCATGAGCCAGCCCTAGTCGCGCCAGGCGCCATGACTCAGAAGGAAGCCGCTGTATCTTCAAGCCCTACGCAAAGCAGCCAAAGGAGCCACGATCAGAATTAGTATCAAGGACGATCAGGTTAGAATATGGTGATTTTCAACACGAAATTGTCCAGACATACTGTTCCAAGAAAGAATAGTTACATGGCAACAGAACATATACATGATGTCTCCAAATTCTATTCTATCGGGACAGTTAACATTTCACATAAAACGTTATACCTGGAAATAAACATGTTCTGTCTACATGAGCAAGCATGTATCTGATTGGACGCCTGCATATTTACCAGAACAAGTGTTAAGCATGCCAACATTCCACCTGATCAAATAGAACATCTTAAACACACACAGAATACTGGTCATAACTGTCCGATCAAACGTATCTATTTCTTCCCTTATCACAGTATACGGAAGATTGAATCATATTTTGGAGAAGATGTCCTTTCCCATGGAGGTACTTATTTAATTGTCCAACTAGAAACCAACTAGGACTCAATAAGGGAAAGTTACTTCCCTAGTTCTTGCAGGTGAGTTCAGTGAGTCTCCCATGTCCCTGCCAAATGGACCATTGCCACAGTGTCAATCGAGCCTTATGGCACCCCATCCGAAATGAGCTCCACGTCGTTGGTCACACCTGTTGTATTGACCGTGCCGCGGAGTGGACGGGGGGACTTGTTTTTGATCCACTCTGCCAACCCTTTGGCACCGAGCTGCCCTGATCGAAGATGATCGAAGCCAGCGCAACTGACACTGACACCAATCTGGGCTGCCCTCAGATCCCCCGGATAAAGTTTGACATTTGGTGGGTTAACTGGAAACTACAACAAACACCAAAAGGCCAACAAGCCAAGGGGATGGCTGGGAACTCCAACCAAAGCAAATGCCCGGCGTTGCTACCGGCCGTTTGGTCCCCCGGCACTCCGTGAAGTGGAGGAGCCCTGAGCAAGCCCCAAAGTGGGCGTGGCGTTGAAAGGGGGCCCCGGCCTCAGGGGTGTTGCAAAAATATACGTTTACCTGCCTACGTGTGCATGTGGTAATCGTTTGCCATGCATGTTCAAAGTTTCCATTAGATAGCTTTACCTGATTGAACTTGCAAAGTATGGAACGGGTGCAAGTCTGTATGGTGTCTCGCGTTTGCGTCAAAACTATAGAGCACTAGGGGCTGGCTAGCGGAAGCACGGCATTCTTATACAGTGAAGATTGCCTGCTTGCATATCATGTTCATCGGCTGGGCAGGGTCCCTCAAAATGGCCAAACATCAAGACTCCCAATCGCTCAAGGCCCTGTCGTGTATCTTTCACCATGACTGAATTCGATCAGCTGAGAAGCGATAGTGACACCCCACTCACTCATAGACGGCTGGGTACTTGACGCACCAAGTCTCGAGGTTGTTTGAGAAAGCCTGCTGGTTTTTGGGACAATGTTCATCTTGAGCGTTCCCGTTTTGGCTATAAACTCTATGCCACCACTTAAGCAGGATACCATTGGACACCTCAGTGTTGCTGGATGTGCCAGTTTGGGACATTCTAAGGCCACTGCTTCACATACTATTGGTTCCAGTTTTTTCTGCTCTAAACATTAAAGCAACACGAATAGCGCCCACTTCAAAGAGGATTAGTTGTGTGTTGTTCGTTTGACACGTTGTAAACAGAAACATGCTCAATGGCCTGTGGATTCCGGAGCCATCCAAGACATATGGCCGGCAGCTGCCAACATGTCATCTTGAAGCAATTCAGCCTGGAAACTGTCATGCAATCCGCAGTAAATCTGAGTAAGGCATCCTGGAGCCTGTGGCTCAGGAGGAAAATCAGGCAGCCCCACAACTGCTCAGGCTGGGCCTGAAACTAAAACCAGCCAAGGTATTTGCGGGGCAACACAAATATCTCCGAGCGCCTGTAGCAGGGCGCCCGGCGCCTGAAATGAGGGTCCACACAAAGTGGGGATGCAGCCTATGTGAACTTGTTTCTCAAACCGGGCTCCATGGCTCCATCAGGCTCCATCGAAGGCCCCGTCTAAGGCCCCGACTCCTTCAGCCAGCCCTGAGAGTTCACTACCGCATCGGGGGGCAGCGCCGGCTTGCTGAAGCTGGGCCGCCTGCACGGTGCCAACGCACACCCGCAGCACACAGCCGGCTCCGAGTTGTAACCAGTGACCACAACCTCTGCAAGGAGTTACCCAATTTTTCTACGCTGCACCTCAGATGTTCGGTGTCCAAGCGGGAAATGGACAGACCTTGATGCGACCCTTTGGTTTTAACAAGGCGGTTTACAGCTTTACGCGCTGCGGGCAAAATTCGTGGAACATGACTAAGGCGAGAGCCTCAAACATTGACACACACACACACACAACGACACTGAAATGAAGCAACAACTTTAAAGCAAAGCTGCCCAACATTTGGAGAAGGCATGTTGTTTGCCGTGTCAAACGAGCCTGCAAACAGCTTGCAGCTTGGGCTCACGGGTGAGCTGCCCAAGCTGATATCGAGAAGGTAGACTCACGAGATCTCTTCAAATGAAAAGGCCCTCAAGTGCTCTTTCTGATGGCTTCCTTCTCGGAATGCTTGGGGAACCTTTTCAGGCCCGCCATGAACCACGAAATGGACCCGGCCCTGCAGCTCCTAAAGCGCATGTGTCACGTATTCGCGACAGGCGCTTCGTGGCGCTTCATGGCGCTCCGCCTGGTACGGCCCACAGGTGCTCCGTTCTGATTCTGACCGATGCCCAAAGACCTGGGCCGAAACTCGGAGAAGTCCGAATTTAGCACCAGCGCCAAAAGGGGGTACTCTCAAACATGCTTGACCCCGGCCTGTTCCTGAAATGCAAGCGGTGAGTTCATGTTTGGCGACATGTCATGTGGGCCAACCATGACCCGTCACAAAGTTGTGCCTAGCCCAAGATGCAGTATCATTCGGTTGGCATCGCTGAAATTCTCCTACACCTGCGCACTCAGGCTTCGTTGCTCTGAGGTACCAAGACTTGTCTCGACTTTCTCTAGTTCGTTTGGCTGGTGTCAGCTGATTCGGTTCAAGGTTCTTTCGAATGGAAACGCAACATCCATCAAGTTGAAAACTGTTGTCCCAGCGCTCGGTCTGCTGGAGCCCACATGCGGTTGCTCCATGAAGCCTGCCTTCCATCATGCAAAGTGGTGGTGCAAATGCAAGATCCGCACGGCGCCACAACACACACACAAACAAAACGGAGAAAAACAAACGCAAACACTCAGACCTGAAAACAAGCAAGCAAGCAAGCAAGCAAGCAAGCAAGCAGGCAGGCAGGCAGGCACGCAGGCAAGCAGGCAAGCAGGCAAGCAAACAACCAAACAAACAAACAAGCACACACACACAAGCACACACACAAGCACACACACACACACACATACAACCACACAAACAGACACGCGCACACACACAAACACAAGCAAACACACACCAAACACAGACCAAACACAGAAACACACACACAAACACAAGGATAAAGACACACAAACACACTCAAACATACACAAAAACACCAAAACACACAAACACAAACACAAACACAAACACAAACACAAAACCCACCCACGCCCGCCCGCCCGCCCGCCCGCGCGCACGCGCACACGCACACGCACAGGCACAAGCACAGGCACAGGCACAGGCACAGGCACAGGCACACGAACGCGCGCGCGCACGCGCACGCGCACCCGCACCCGCACGCACATACACACAAACACGCCCAAAAACAGAGTGACACATACACACACACACAGGCACACAAACACGAAACACACGACTTATTGCTGAATAGAGGTGGCCTGCAACACCAGTCTACTTGAACGGCCTAGCCTTACCAGCCCCCACAAGGAAGCATGCAATGGGCAACGTTGCCCCCACAACGAATAGACCTTGGCCCACACTAAAAAAGGGTAATTACACGGAAATGAACATTAATATTGTCAGATTCTGTTTCATGAAGTGCAAATAATTTTGCAGACCCCGCTGCTAAGCTACCCCCACACGGCACATCTAATGTGCTGGATCTGTGTCCACCTATGGACTCCTGTACTCCAGCGTGCGAATCCGGCAAAGCCGAAGGCTTGCCTGTGGCAAGTTACTTCCCTGTGACACGGTGTGCTGATAAATACACCCTGTGTAAAAAGAAAGCCGTTTCCTTTTTCCCCACGGGAGTTCATAAGGAATGACTTTTGCGCCGGATCCTTGGCGTTGGCTCAAGCCAAGTGATTCGAAATGCAAGGCGTGAGGGTTGACATCTGGGCTCCCCGCGGCTCGGGTGACCTGGGCACGCAGCTTTGGAAACGAGGAGGAGCACCCAAAACGGTTTCCAGAGATCGCCAATGAACAACTGGTTGTGGTTTTGAGCCCATGCTCCAATTGGGCAATTATCGCAGCTACTTTCTACACGGGCCCGGCTGGTGAACTGTATGAGAGGTTGACCTCCAACTCAAACGGTTTGACTCTCAGACCGAATGTTTCTCCCGGATTCGGAAAAAAAAACACAACAGACGTGCTACCGTGCATCCGCTCATACACGCAGGCGTGAGAAGGGGCGATGGCCGATGTCTGTCTTGAGGCTCACGAGGATGCTTTCCGAACACATATGCCATGTCCTATGTCATGGGGAGTTGGAGTTGGGGAAACACCTTGACTGCCATACTTACCTGAATTAGTAACCGAATGAGACAAAGGGATCCGACGTCATGCCTAAGTCATGCCGTTCACACGCGCGCCATTGGAAACGCAGGCATTTTGACAGTCGCCGCATATATACGCCCACAACTGGGAACATGCTTCAGGCGAAGTGTTGTCAGAAGCGGGGAAGAGGTGCCTCTACGCGAGCCATGTCCAAAAAGGAACCTGCTTCCAAACAAATCATGTGAACGACGCCAGTGGTGCCAGCAGCTTTCAGAACGACTGCAATTATTCAAAAGCCTGGCAAGCAGAATGGCCAAACATTAAAAGATGTTTGCCGGGCACTTTCACCAAGGTCCTGCCGAGGTCCGAACAATTCTCATTGTGCTTCGCGCTCCATCCCCCCAGTGTGCAGAAACAAGCGCTCGACTTGTCCGCACAGGCAGGAAAGCACGAGGACAAGGAGCAGGGATGAGGAGTGGCCATGGCTGCTTTCCATGCGCTTTTGGAAAGGGAACGCACGGAAGGCAGCATTTGAACAAGCTTTTGCATTGAACAAATATCATGGCTCGCCCTCATATCTTGAGGATGCTGCCACTTGCCCCTTTGAAGCTGGTGACACGAAACACTACCTGAACTCAACAACCCATCATGCCACCACGCGTTGCTGCCGAGTTCCCGTGCATTTCAACCTGGTAGTTTGGAAGTGGTTCCAAGACAGCAGTCTAAAAGGAGCTGCCCTGAACCTAACTGGGAAGTTCAAAGGCTCGGGCGGGCTCTGCGTCCGGCCCTTCGAGACCCGCTTTCGGCCCCTGGCGATGCTGTCGACTCGGCACCGGCTCAAAGCTTTCGTCTTGCAAGAGGAATCATGAGGTCAAAAAAAAAATGTTTACTTTGTCCAGGAAAGCCCTTTGTTCCAGAAAAAGAAAAAGAAAAAAAAACATCTCCCTTTTGCTTTGTGTCCGTACATTTGTGCTTAAGGCTCGCTCCAAACCAAGGTTTCCCGTGACCCCCCCCATTGGACCTCAAGCGATGGCCTAAGCAGAATGATTCAACCCTGCAGGCCATCCAAACCACCCGAGCGTTGAATGAGACTCACTGGCCCAAAGCCATCGAAAAGCTGGGCTGGAAAAAAGGGACCCCAGCAAAATATATATCTGTTTTAAGCCTGGTGAGTGGAAAACAAAAAGACCCCAAAAAAAGAAAAAGGAAAAAGGGGAGCTAATTCTGGGGAAGAAAGCAGGTCTAAACTTGTCCGTGCACTTTTCAGAAGCAAGAGAAGTATCAGCACAGTGGCAAGCCATTGATGCTGACATGCTGAGTTGACTGCCAACAAAAGGCCATGCTCCATCATCAGTTGAAACATGTGAAACGTAAATTGGTGAAAGGTACCGCTGGCCGCACTCCATGGATCGTGCAAGTGAAATAGCTGGCTTACCCAACCATCCTTGTTTCACTTTGCAGCCAACTGGCACGGATCAAACATTGTTGATGGAGGGGACTATTTTGCCCAAAGATGTTATGGGTCCAGCACCTGAGACATCTTCCTACGGGACATTCTTGCATTTCTGGGAAAGCCTTCAATTGCCCTGAGAGGGACCCTGACGCAAAGACCTTTAGATGAAAGGAGCCAGAAATACAAGGTTCACCTTCTGAACCATGACCAAACATCAACCAACAGAAGAAACCAAAAGGTCAAAAGGTTGGCTTTGGGCAAGTGAGATTTTGATGAAGCAAACGACTTCCGGCCTCGCATCGTGGGCTGCAGCCTTGGGCTCGTAGTCCACAACCTCGCCGTGGCCCGGCTCCGGCTCCGTGCCAAGGGCGCGAGAACCACAGAGATCCTTACATTATGTGATTCGGGCACGAGCCTGTGCCCAGGCAATGGGTAAGTTGGGGTAAACAAGCCACAAAAGAAAGGTTCCCCAAAAGCAAACCAATCCCCGGTCCCAAAGATCAGGGTTTCCCACACACCAGAGAACAACAACCAAAAGGAAACAAACCAAACAAGAAAAGGGTTAACCCGCAACCTTGGTCGACAACAGGCCGCACGACTGGTCCCTACCAACCTGGCGGCGGCCCGAGGTCTCTTTCTCCCCCGAGATGCCGTCGGTCGACGCAGGGGTTCGGCGACGCCCATTCGAGGCGCGACGGAACCCAAAACTTGAGCCAAAACACCACAGGTCGGTCACTAACGCGACGTCCCTGATGATGATATGAACCATGGCTGATGATGATATCCCTGATGGCTGAACCATGGCTCACACCCCCCTCACGAGGAGCCCGTCATATGACGGGTGGAGCGTGCCATTTACTGATAGGATTTAACTGCTCGCATGCGTCCGCAAACAGCTGGACACTACCGCCGTCAGCGGTGGAGCAAACCCACAAAGGCAGTTGCGCGACATCCCGGGCATTAAATTCCCGCCACCACCCCGAATTAATCGGGGTAACGCTGTCCAACAACCTTGTGGAAAAGTCCACATGACGACACTAGGTCACAACTGTTTGCATCAACAATGCAAGAAGTTTAATTCTTATCAGAAGCCATGAAATAAAAGATAACGTATGTCCATTAGTACCCTCGCCTAACGGCAAGAGGTACTCCTGACCATGCGTACCTGAATAAAAATGCTTGAATTCGCAAACCCGGGAGTAACCCCCCATCAGTTTGCTTTCCCTCTCACTCACACTGCTCCCTGATGAACACGTCCAGCAGCCCAGCAGCGGTATGGGAGAGACATGACCTCCGCGCCTCAGCGGTCCGGGAGGAACATCACCACCTCCGCACCGCGCCGACCATTGGAGAATGGACGCAAGCCTATCGGCCGCAATCCTCGTGACTCAGCCTACCGGCTATCGTCACGTCTCCTCCGGTCACGTCCGCCCCGCGCACGGTCCCTATCACGATCCCTCTCGGATCTCCTGCGATCATCTCGCCTTCGATCTCGCTCCCGATCGAGTGATTCATCATCACGACGATCACGAGCATCGTCCCTCCTCCGGTCTCGATCATCCTCGCGCCGTGGACGGTATCTGCGCCTCCTTGACTCCCTGGAATCCCTGGTGTCCACGGTCCTAACGGACCTCCGAGAAGGAGTACGGGAGACATCCGATTCCCTACGCCTCCTTCCAGAGCGAGAGTTCGTCACGATCTGGTTGAGAGCCTCCAGTGCTGACGCGTCCTCACCATTTCTAATGAAATCCCTGACTTGCTTGTTCAGCACTCTGTTGGTGGAGACTGCCAAAAGAGCGTCCACCACCGAACTCCCAGGCAGCACCAGGAAGTGACCCTCCACCGGGCTCGCCGCAGTTCGCTCAGCCGACTGCAACCTGATCTCACCGCCTTCAGGCTTCTTTGCCATTGCCTTGGAGGCCGTCAAGGGCGCTACCGCGTCCTTCGCCGAAGATCTGCCAAGCGCGGAGTGAAGATCATCCCCACTAGCCTCTCTCGCTGCCGCACCTGGTCTGCTGTCGACGTCATCAGGCCTTGTTGATGCCTCCCGCTTCGTCGACTCCTTCACAGTCTCATCGGGATCCCAACGGGACTTCCTTTCTCTCTTCTGCCCTTCAGCCGACCCCCGGCTACCGCCAGGAGCGTCATCTCCGCCCATCTTCTCCTTCTTGACCTCAACCTTCGGTTCGGCCTGCTTCGTCTCCTTAGCTTCAGCCTTCGGAGCCGGAGCATTCTTCGCCTCAGATACTGAAGCGGCCTTCCCTTTTGGCTCGGCCTTTGGAACCGGGGTCATTTTAGCCTTCGCACTCGGCCGGGCTCCTTGAACCACCATCTCGACCCAAGTCTTCTTCGGTTGAGTCACAGTTGCATCAACCTCCATCGGAGCTGGTCCAGCATCATCCTTTGCTTTTGCCTTCGGGACAGATGGGCTACCGCCCTTGCCAGATCCTTTACCTGGCACTTCACCTGACTTCGGTGGTGGGCCGGAAGGACTACCGCCCTTACCGCCCTTTTCCCCCTTCTTCCCTTTTCCTTTTCCGCCCTTGATGACCGGCTCCTGCTTGGGACCAGGACCTGGCGCAGCATGATGCACCGATTGAAGTCCCTCGATGTCCACGTTTAGTGGTTCGGGTTGACGACCATCAAGAACCGTCCTCACCCTCTCGTCACTGACGTAGACGAACGGGTCACGAAAGGGTGCGGGAGGCTCCGACTGTCCGGCACTGATCGCCTTCTGCACTTCTTCTCATCGTACCCTGTCTCCGACACCATGTACTGCCTGAGCTGCGAAATCAATGCATGGCTTTCCAGGATGTCCACGTCCTTTCGATGGGTCGGATACAATGGGGTCAGATGACCAGCCGCGGAGCCAATCACGTATGCCATCGGGATGTAGAAGGACAAGTACGTGTCATGGCGAGCGAACTTCCTAACGGAAGTCGTCATACGCCTACCCCACTGGGCAGCATGCCTTGGGTTAGCCCGGAAGTACTCCGTAACCGACTCAAATCTATCGACTTGGTTGGTCAAAATCAGGTGCTTCGCCACCCACTTCTCCACGAACGCATCCGATGCCGAAATCCCCGACACATAGGAGAATTGGAAGAGCACCTTCGCCGCATCGACTCCTCCCTTGTCCTCACCAAGATAAGGGGGCAGTCTGATGCCGCTCTGCACCGTCATCCTCAGATCAGACGCCATCGAATAGGAAATCAAGTTCCTCTTGATGACTCCGACCACTTGGGTGGGGATCCTCTTGGGCTTGAACTGCCCCATGGTCCTCACCCACTCCGGCACGATGTGGCAACTCTCGAAGTCTTTCTCCTCCGCGTTGGGGATAAAGTTCGGGTAAAAGACCGGGAGCGCGCATCCAGGACACAAATGCATCCCATTTGGCGTCATCTCCGCGCACCTCAAACAGAACGTGGTAGTCACATTCAACCTGACCTCTTCCCGCGATCGCCTGTGCTCTCCCCTAACGGGGGTGAAGTCACCATAGTCCCATGCCCGATGGTACACTATCGTGTAATCATCGTACATGTAGGCCGCCTTCCAAGCTCCCATGTGGATCTCGTTCCTAACGGCCAGAGTCTTCCTTCTTGTCAAAAACACGGGCCCAACCAAGGACCAATGCACCCGAAGGTCCACCATTACCACCACGTACCTACCGGAGTAGTTCCGCAGCCTGTCTCGGACATACCACGAAGGCGATACCTCGGCATCCGGCGCCATGGCTCCCACAAGTGGAATCAGGCCCTCATCCTGCCTACCATCCCCAATGGTCTCGTACACATCGGGCCTCGTGATCAATATCTCGATCATGGCCTTTCCGTTTCGCCTCACCCTTTGGAGCTGAACCGCCTTCCGAAAGTCCGAGAACTTCATGATGACGTACCCCACCATGGGGAGTTCATTCCAATGCATCTCGTACATCAGAGATCCGCCAGGTGCATCTTCTTGAGTGTACCTATGCCTAACGGCACTGTAACTCATGTCGCGTCCGATCCGCGTGTGCCTAACGGCCACCAACCTAGTGCTCTCCTTGAGGAGGACACCATTCCCGTCGTACATGACCATGAGCATCGCCTCAACTTGCCCTATCGGGAAAGCTTTGAGCGTCGGAATGAAGAACTTCCAAGACATCTCAGCGTTCTCCATGCCCGAGATCTCCTTCAGGAACCAGATGGCCTGGTCACTTTTCACCCAGTTTCCAGCCTCACGTCCGGTCTCCTTCAGCACGCGTTCCTCGAATAACTCCGAGACTCTCTTTGAATTGATGACCAGACCCTCGAAATCGCACGAGAGCAGTCTCATCAACTCCTTAGCCGCCTCCCGCCCTGCAACGGTGCCCACGGTCTCCTCGTAGTTCGGGAGGTATTCGCCCAACCTTGTCTTCGAGGGAACCACAATCTGGCAGGTAACGGCCTCATCAGGGATAACTCCAGTTTCCCTCAACTCTGGATTGATCTCCCGCCTATCGGCAAGATAATCCTTCCTCCCATCCAATATCACAAGATTGTAAGTCATCTTGCTCGCCGCCTCACTAGGTCTGAACCTCCTGCTATCATCCAGCTGATCGGGAGCAAAGGGTCCACTGGGGGCAGCCGCACTCACCATAGGCGCTCCTCGCCCAGAGCATAGGTGCTTCTTGTGAAAGTTCACCATCTGATTCAGCTGCGACAAGGCATAGGCACGATCCTCCAATGACGCACTCTTCATCCCAGCCTCAGTCAGTGGAGCCTCAGGCTTGTCATAACTCGCCTTTCCGCCCCATCTCGCCGCGACTAGCTCAGCAGACTTCGCAGGGTCGACCAGATTGCCCGACCATTCAGGCATGTTACTCAACCTCCTAGTCAACGCGTCTACCGACGCAGCCAAGTCTTCATCCGTCACGGTGTAAGGGTCAACCTTCTCCCTTTCTTCTTGACCCACATCCGGGAGCCTATAGTCCCCGCGGATGGCCTCCATTGCGGCCCTCTCGGCTTCCTCAGCCTCCTTCTGCGTGGCCACTGCTCTCGGAATCAAGAGCGCTACCTCGGCTGGCAACGACTTCCATGTCTATCGGAGTGTTCTTGGGAAGGATCCTTCGATCATCTCCCTCCCCGCTGTACTCATAGTTAGGAGCAGTCTTCCGGTACTCCTCGACGGTAGCCCCTTTGAAGTTGGTGATCTCACTCGGGTCTGCCTTCCCAGCCTCAGTACCCCGAGGCGTGGGCTCCTTCGTCCCGGTGGAATCCTTCTTGGAGCCTTCCTGATCCACGTCCATGTCGTCTCTCTTCTTTTCCGTCACGGACAGTTTCCCAATGTCAGGAAGAGTCACATCATCATCCTTTC